TGTTATAAGATTGATTTCGTTATAAACAAAAACCCCCCAATCGTTATACGAAGCATAAATTGTTGAATTACACACTCTTCGTGGGATCGACCCTTACTTCCATTACTACATTAGTTTTAGAGGTTTAAGGACTATTATTGGGTGCCTACGACAGCACACCAATGCCTAGTGGAGAAAAAAACAATTCGGATTGAGGGATGATAAGGAATTAAAATGCATGACTGAATTTTGGATTGTTGGCACTATGAAATAAGTTATCTAATCTTAATTTTATGGATTTAACACAAGAGGTAATTAAACAAAATAGGAAATTTGCGGTTGTAAATTAGAATTCGACATATTACGACAATTTTTAAACAAGTGAGTGCAGCTTTACTTTCATGACCAAAACTTTAATTTTGACTCTTAGGAAGTGTCATAGCTACATAGTAATATAACACAACTTTGTTTTTCTAATTGTACAAGAAAATTTCTTTTAAAACGAAACACAAGATTTTTTTTTCGGTCGCTACAATCCTCCCCACTTAAAATAATTTTGTACTCGAAAATTAACTTACTTGTTTAAGGAGATCGAGATACTTGACAAAAATGTATTTTTCTCCTTCCTAAGTAGCCTCATCCTCACTATGTTATCCCCACCGGACTTTGACTAATGAAACCTTTCGATTTCTCAGAACATGATCATTTCTCTTGAAAATCACTGCAGGAGCTTCTTCAAACGCCATATCACTATGGACATCCACTCATCGAACATTCACCACATGGCTCGAATCCGAGATATTCTTTTTCAACATAGAAACGTGAAATACATTGTGCACTGCTGATAGTTCGAGTGGCATTGTGCATCGACTATCGTGAACTAAATAAGCTGATGATCAAGAATAAGTATCATTTTCCTAGGATTGAGGATATATTTAATCAGTTGAAGGGTGCATTCGTGTTCTAAAAAATTGATTTAAGGGCGGGCTACCATCAACTGAAGATTAAGTTGGTAGATATACCAAAGACTGCATTTAGGACTCGATATGGGCATTATGAGTTTACGGTGATGCCCTTTAGCTTAACGAATGCCCCCACAGTGTTTATGGACTTGATAAATAGAGTGTTCAATCAGCATTTGGACATTTTTGTCATCGTATTTATTGGTGACATACTAATATACTCAAGAAATTCTTATCAACAGAAAGAACATCTGAGGATAGTTCTGGAAATACTGCGTGAGAAGAAATTGTATGCCAAATTCAATACATGTGAATTTTAACTTGAACGAGTGGGGTTTCTTGGTCATATTGTTACAGTACGAGGAATTAAAGTGGATCAATCCAAAGTTGAGGCTGTGACCAATTGGCCGAAACCTTCAAATATTGGAGAAGTGAGGAGTTTTTTAGGTCTAGTCGGCTATTATCGGCAATTTATAGAAGGATTTTCCAAGATTGCGAGTCCTATGACATAGTTGACTCGGAGGGGTACTAAGTTCGTATGATTAGAGAAATGCGAGCGGAGTTTTCAAGAGTTAAAGGACATGCTTGTATCTGCACTAGTCTTGACTATTCTCGATGGTTCGGAAGGCTTTGTAATTTACAATGATGCATCCAAGCTTGGTTTAGGATGTGTTTTGATACAACACGAGAAGGTGATAGCTTATGATTCGAGGCAATTGAAACAATATGAACAGAATTACCCTACTCACGATTTTGAACTAGGAGCGGTGGTACATGCCTTGAAGATTTGGAGCCACTACCAATATGGGAACAAGTGTGGGATCTACACTGATCACAAGAGTCTCAAATACTTTTTCACCCACAAGGAGTTGAATATGAGACAACAATGGCGGTTAGAATTAATGAAATATTATGACTATGCTATCTAGTACCGTTCGGATAAGGCTAATGTAGTCGCTGATGCGCTGAGTAAAAAGAACATGGGATAGTTGTCAGCACTGTGTGCAAGATATGATCATTTAATCAGGGATTTTGAGAATCTGAGAATCGAAGTATTAACTTCACTAGTAAGGACATTGGCAATGTTAGCAAGTTTTACTATGAAACCTACACTCAAGGACATAATAGTAGCTGCTCAGAAAGGATGACCCCTTTGTGGAAAAGATTAGGGCTGACGTGAGAATTGAGAAGATGAAAGGATTTGAAATAGTCGAAGATAAAGCCCTGATGTTTAAAGGTCGACTATACGTGCCAAATGATGAGGAATTGATGGATGAGATTATGATTGAATCTCATTCTGCTCCTTACGCCACACACCCGGCGGAACTAAAATGTATAAAGATTTGCATAACAAATTTTGGTGTAGAAATATGAATGGGAAGATAGCTCTGTTTGTGTCCAAATGCATGGTTTGTTAATAGATGAAGGTTGAATATCAGAGGCCGCAGAGACTGTTGAATCCCATGGACACACCCGAATGGAAATGAGAAAAGATTACAATGGATTTTGTCATTGGTTTTTGTAGATCAGTGAGAGGTCATGATGCAATCTAGATGATCGTGGATTGACTGAAAAAATATGCTCATTTACCACCAGTTTAGACAACATATATCTTAGAACAGTTCGCACATATTTATGTCAGAGAGATTATGCGATTTCATGGTGTTCTAGTTGATAGTCCAAGAATAGCTAACCAAAAGGGGGGTGAATTGATTTTCAAATTTTTTTTGAAAAACTAATTTAAGATCAAGTACGTGATAACAAGATAGATTAATTCAAATAGTAAACACGAATATGAAGACAATAAATAAAGAGAGATAGAGAGTGCAAACGATATGTTATGGAGGTTCGATCCAAACCAACGATCTACGTCCCCAGTTACCAAGCTCTCCATCACGAGCAATGCTTTCGAAAAATTAACTTAAAATCAAACACGTAATAGCTAGATAGATTGATTCAAATAACAAATACAAATATAAAAGCAATAAGTGAAGAGGGATAGAGAATGCAAACGATATAATTATGGAGGTTCGATCCAATGCAATAATCTATGTCCTCTGTTACCAAACTCTCCGACACGAGCAAAGTCAATTTCACTATATTGATTGACTTGTGGTGCAACCCAACCCTTTACAAAGTTTCCGGTGACTTACAAGTTAGGAGCACCGATCCTTTTATAACGTTGAGTTTCCTGGGACTTCAACACGACCCACAAGTTTAAGTTGAATTGAATTTACAAATTGAAACATCTCCCTAAATAAATGATATAATCACAATTAAGTGTCAAGTAAGAAATATGCTAACACTTTAATAGATAGCAATGAGTGAAGATCAAGTGTTAGGTTTAGAAAAACTTTGATGTGTTGAATGATTTTCAAGAGTTAATTTAATCAAAAGTTTTTCAAAACAAAATATAGAGAGTGCAAACGATATAATTAAGGAGGTTCGATCCAATGCAATAATCTATGTCCTCTGTTATCAAACTCTCCGACACGAGCAAAGTCAATTTCACTATATTGATTGACTTGTGGTGCAACCCAACCCTTTACAAAGTTTCCGGTGACTTACAAGTTAGGAGCACCGATCTTTTTATAACGTTGAATTTCCTGGGACTTCAACACGACCCACAAGTTTAAGTTGAATTGAATTTACAAATTGAAACATCTCCCTAAATAAATGATATAATCACAATTAAGTATCAAGTAA